AAAGAAAGAAAGAAAGAAAGAAAGAAAGAAAGAAAGAAAGAAAGAAAAAAGGAAAGGAAGGGAAGGGAAGGAAGGAAGGAAGGAAGGAAAGGAGGAAGGAAGGAAATCGTGTAAAGAACATACATGCTTGTCACTTTCACGGATTTCTTCATGTAATTCACACAGTGATGCAGTGAAAAAAGTATTGTTATCCCCATTTTACGAGTGAAGAAATTGAGGCTTGGAAAGGTGAAAAAACTCACCCCAGGTCACACAACTAGCTTGGGCAGGGTTGCGACATAAATCCAAGTGTGACTACTCCAAAATCCATGTTCTTTCCATGACACCAGAATGTGGTATGCCGTGTATGTGGTGTTGTATGCTTATACTCACATCATCACTTTAGCCTCTTCGATGAAATCCTCCTCGGACATGGAGCCTTCGCTGATGGCCTTGATAGCTACCCGGATGTGCGCTCGCCATTCACCTAAATGGACCACCCCAAACTGACCGCTTCCAATCTCCTTTACAAAAGCCAACTCAGCAGGATCTATCTCCCACTTTTCTAGAAAAGTAAAACATCCATGTCACAAGTAGGGAAAAATTTTAGCTAGAAGAGATTCAGGAATTATCTAGACCTACTCTATTCTTTCACAAAGAGGTTAAAAATTTTATCAGTGAGGGCAGCAGAACCGTAACCATGGTTAATACTCTCATGGTCATTTACATGTGTAATTCCAGAATTCAAGTTTAAACATACAAACTTGACTTGCTTGGAGAGGAATTAGGGATATCAAAACACTTTCTCTTTCCAGAGAGACCCAAGTTAAAAGGCAACACTTTGCCTTTCTGAACCAAACCTACCAAAATTAGACCTGGCCCCAAGAATATGTATGTCCCCATCTGTTTTTGTCCTGCTGAGTAAACTTGTGAGGCACAGAACATTTGGTCCCCCACCTCGCCCCCTATATCACTCCTCTGCTCACTTCCACCCCTAAAGGGCTTTTCTGCCTTGGTGTCTTCTCCTAGAGAAAAGCCTAACAAATTCACCTAATAAATACGTGCACTGCTAGGATTCTAACTCACATATATCTAAGTGTGTGTTTGAAGTGAAATTTGTGTTATGGTATATTTCACTTCCATAGAAGCCAAATAAGGAAAAAAGAACTGTTTTTAAAATAACCCTCTTGAAAACACTTGGGAACGATCATCTCTTTTCTTTTCAGGATCTCCTTTTGCATAGCAACACCGCCATCTGCTGGAACTTTAGAATAATGTAGTTAAAAGAATTGTAGAGGCTAATGACCCTTATTACCAGCTTTGCAAAGTGCTCCCCCTCCCAGTAGTAGGGCGTGTTTTAAAAGTAACACGGGAGAATATATTTATGACTTTGATATTGGCATAAATTTATTCAACAGAATATAACCCTAAAGGGAAATATTGACAAATTACCCTTCATAAAAATCCTGTTCATCAATTGCACCCCATTAAGAGAGGGAAAAGGTAAGCCACAGATCGGGAGAAGATACCTCTAAAACATGTAACCAGTAAAGAATGGCTATTCAGAATATGAAAAATCAATTAGAAAAAGGCAGATAACTATATTTTTAAGGGCTAAAAAGCCTGAATAGAGTGTCTTTCACAAAACAGAACACCCAAATGGCCATTCAAGCTATAAAAAGTTGATCAAAATAATCAGTCATCAGGGAAATGCAAATTTAAACCACGATGAGATACCACTACTACACACAGCAGATTGGCTAATGTGAAAACCAAAGAAAAGAATCCACAAAAATACTAAATACTGGCAAAGGTGTGGAGCAACTAGAATGCCCCTACGCTATTGATTGAGGTGTAATTTGGCATAAGCTTTTTGGAAAATGAACTACATCTGAGTGTGTACATACATACTCTAGAACCCAGCAATTCTACTTTTAAGTATATATTCAACACTGTTGGAGCTTAAATATGTACTGAACTTCATCAAAGACACGCAAGAATGTCCATAATGATGTTATTTATGAGATAAAAATTGGTTTCAACCCAGCTGGCCATCTAACGAAGGATGGGTAAATCAACTGTGGTATAGTCATGCAATGTCGCACTATACCACATTGGAGATGGACCAACCACACCCAATATCACGGGTGAAGAAGAAGAAGCCAGATACAAATGCATGGTGTCTTATTCCATTTATATTAAATAGTCAAAAACAGGGAAAACTAATTGAGCTATAGAGTTATGAGTTGTGCACTGTTCTACATGTTAAAAAATTGAGTTTATTTTTAAAAAGTGAAACAGGACTATGCTTAACTTAAATAAACAGCTAATGACAGAGCTTTTATTATATACATTGTATTAAGGGCAGAGGAATAACCCAGGACCCATAAGACCCTGAATCATTCTCCCATCCTAATTAAAATAGAGACCCCGAGTCCTGATACACTATATAATCATGTGATCATTTTTTCAGTATTTTCTGTTTCTCACTAATGAGAGAAATTTAAGGGAATAAAATGTCACCAAATTACAGAACAGAATTCTTTGGCTCTTCTTTATTGTCACGGATTTGCAGATACACATCTGCTAGAAAATAGTTCAAATTAAACTTTCTACGGGTTGTATTTTAAAAAGGTGAAGAGGACACTTTGGGCAGCTCTTTTTAGCAGGTTCTCTTGGAGAACAGTCATTTTCCAGCCACCCTTGTACCCAGAGAGCAACAGCTCAAACAGCCAAATAAAAAGAATTCTAATTTATCAAAAGAACGCCTGTTTAATGTATAATGAAATTTGAAGTAAAATTGAAACATTTCTTTCTGAAGTTCAAATTGCTCTTGTGAGATGCATATATTTAAGTATCTCAGAAGGGGGATTTAAATGCTGAACGGAAACCTATCTAGACATCTCAGAAAAGCTAAGAATTTAAAGAACGTAGAGGGAACGTGGAGTAGATTCTTTACTGGATTTGATATTGTACTTGGGTGCATGCGCATACATTACCGTAGCTAAAACCAGCTGTGGCTGGCAAACAGCTGCCCATCAGTCCGACTGGGTAGCGGAGACGGCTCATGAGGCCTGGGGAGACACAGAAATTGGCATTTCAAGCCTACTTACTAACATAAAAGAAAAAAAACAATGTATTAGATGACGATGCCAGTCTTCAAATAAATTAGGCGGGAAAGTATTCTCCATTAGCCTATTTACTTGTTTTCCCCATTTTTCATAAAATAATATTTGCTCATTGGACACACATCTTTTTAATTTATTTTTTTTATTATTAACATATAATGTATTATTTGTTTCAGGGTGGAAACACATTTTAAAATCCAAGAAAATTTAAAGACAAAGTAAAGATCTCACTAAATCTTAGCAGCCAGAGATGCACTGTTATCATTCTGGTGAACACCTCTGCAAAAATCTCTGTATATGTACTTGAAAGCATACACACACCCAATATGTTTCACAGAAAAGTAAATGTCTTGCTATAAGCTTTTTACACTCAATATGTCATTGATACACATCAGTGACTATAAATAGAGCTTAAAGTTACTTCTAAGATGCCACTATTGTAAAATATGCTGTATGTTTTTGAACATAAACTTTTAGGTACCTCTCAAATTATTGCCTTAGGGATAAATTCCTTAAAATGTGATTTCTTGATCAAAGCACATATAGAAAAACTGTACTAATTCATTCAACAACCAACAGTGTTTAAGGGTACCCATTTCCTGACTCCACTTTTTGAGAGTAGTTTCTTTTTTTTAATAACATGGTAGCATAAATGAGACTTCTTTTGATTGGGTCAACATGTAGTATTCTGTTCCATCAATTTCAATTTAGTTCAACAAGCCTTTGTTATTTATTTCCTCGACTAATGTTTATTTGGGGCCTGCTTTGTGCCAAGCACCATCTAGATGGTGGGAGACAGCAGTGAAGCAGTAAGCCAGTGGTGGGCCCCGCTCCCGTAGAGCTTACAGTTTGGTGGGGGAAGAGAAAATAAACAAGTACATGCACACTCAAGAAAAAACAGAAGATGATGAGTGGTAAGCAGAGTATATACAATACAGCTTCTATCGAGTGAGCGCTCCGGGAAGGCCTCTCTGACAAGATGAGAGCTATGCTGACATCAACCAATAAGGAGCCATCTTACAAAGATCAGGAGGAAGAGCATTCTGGGCAGATGGAACAGAATGTGCAAAGGCTGGAAGACAGAAAGCAATGTGGCCAGTATAAGAAGAGAAAAAAGCAACATTAACTGCCTCATTGTGTGCAAGACACTCTTCTAGGTAGATGTCCAAGATTCTGGAGGACCAAAGATGAATAAGGTGAGGACTCTGTACTCAGGGGCTCAATCTCAGTGAGGGAAGACAGGCAGAGAAAGGCAATTCCAATATACGAGGAATAAATCCTGCACTGGAGATACACAAGATGCTCCAGGACACAGCACCTCACACATTTTTGGATTCGAAGAAGTCTTCTGGAAAGAAATGATACCTGAGATGAATATGGCAAGTGGAGTTAAGCCATGAAGAGAATCTATGAAAAACACTCCAGGCAGAGGTAACAGCGTGAGATGACACCTAGAGGTATGAAGCAGGATGGGCTACTTGAGCAAAAGGTGAGAGATAGAAGAGGCAAGAAATTACACTTGAGAGGTAGGTAATATTCTGGTTATGATGGGCCTTGTAAGCCATGTTGGGGAACATTACATCATCCTGCAGGTGAGAAGGAGCCATTGAAAGTTCCCAAATAAGGGAGTGGCATGGTCAGATTTACATTTTTGGTAGATCATTCCGACATCAGCGTAGAGGATGGATTGAGGGTAAGTCAACATTGAAGACAAGACCAGTTAAGAGGCCATTACAGTTGTTCAAGTGAACAATGATTAGAGCAGCACTAGAAGAATAAGAGAGGCAAGAACCTATATGAGACACACTTAGGATATGAAATTCATTGCACTTGATAATTAACCAGAAGTTGTAGAACAAATAGTATTAAAATTTGTATGGAATCGCAAAAGGCCCTGAATAACTAAAGCAGTCTTGAGAGAGAAAAACAAAGCTGGAGGTATCACACCCCCTGATTTCAAACTATACTACAAAGCTATAATAGTTAAAACAGTATGGTACTGGCACAAAAACAGACACAGAGATCAATGGAACAATACAGAAAGTCCAGAAATAAACCCAAGCTTATCTGGTCAATTAATCTTTGACAAAAAAGGCAAACACATACAATGGTGAAAAGATCCCCATTGATGTTCTCTTCAATAAATGGTGCTGGGAAAACTGGACAACTATATGCAAAAGAATGAAAGTGGACCACTTTTTTACACCACACACACACACACACACACACACACACACAAATTCAAAATGGATTAAAGACTTAAATGTAAGACCAGAAAACATCAAACTCCTAGAAGAAACCATATGTAGTAAGCTCTTGGACATCAGTCTAAGCAATATTTTTTTCATCTGTCTCCTCAGGCAAGGCCAACAAAAACAAAAATAGACAAATGGGACTACATCAAACTAAAAAGTTTTTGCACAGTGAAGGAAACTATCAACAAAACAAAAAGGAAACCTACTTGAATGGGAGAAGGTATTGACAAATGCTATGACCAGAAAGGAGCTAATATCCAAAATATATAAAGAATTCATACAACCCTATCAAAAAAAGACCAAACAATCCAATTTAAAAAAAATGGGCAGAGGACCCAAATAGACATTTCCCCCAAAGAAGACATACAGATGGTCAACAGACACATGAAAAGATGCGCAGCATCACTCATCATCAGGGAAATGCAAATCAAATACACCATGAGATATCACCTCACACCTGTCAGAATGGCTGGTATCAATCAGACAAGTGTTGGCAAGGATGCAGAGTAAAGAGAACCCTCGAGCACTGTTGGTGGGAATGCAAAATGGTGTGGCCACCATGGAAAACAATGTGGAGGTTCCTCAAAAAAACTAAAAATAAAACTACCATACAATCCAGCAGTTCTTCTTCTGGGCATTTCTCCAAAGAAATAAAAAACACTCATTTGAAAAGATACATGCACCCCTATGTTCACTGGAGCATTATTTAAACAGCCAAAATACAGAAGCAACCTAAGTGTCCACTGATAGATGAATGGACAAAGAATATATGGCTGGAATAACGAAATATTCTTCAGCCATAAGAAAAAATAAAATCTTGCCATTTACAACAACATGGATGGATCTAGATGGTATTATACTAAGTGAAAAAATCAGAAAGAGAAAGACAAATACTGTATGAATTCATTTATACGTGGAATCTGAAAAAACAAAGCAAACAAATCAAACAAAACTGAAACATACTCATAGAAACAGAACAATCTGGTGGTTGCTAAAGTGATTATGGGGGGTGGTAGGATGGGCAAAATAGGGAAAGGGGATTAAAAGGTACAAATTTTTGTAGGAGACACAATGTATGGCTTGTGTTAATAATATGTGACAACTTTGCATGGTGACAGATGGTAGCTAGATTTATTGTGATTACTTTGTAATGTATATAAATGTTGAATCACCATGTTATATACCTAAATATACTATCGTATGGCAAATACACTTCAATAGAGGAAGGTTTTCCAATAAGTGAAGAGAAGGAGCAGGAGGGAGAAGGAAAAGAGGAAGAAAGGGAGGGAGGGGAAGGGGGGAGGGGAAGAGGGAGGAGGAGGAGGAAAGAAGTTATCCATTCAGGAGAATGGAATCATCTCTGTGACTCCTCTGTTTCCAGCCCCTGTAATTGGCAGGATGATGACACTATTATCTGAAATGGACAACAGGAAGAAGACTAGGTTTGGAGAGAAAGCAGTGGTTAAGATGAAGAGTTCCCTATCATCACTGAAGTTCAGGGCCTGCGGGATTGCAAGTGCCTGGGACTACCAGGCAGAAGAATTCTGCAAAGGGAAATGTCTAGGGTGAGGAGAGAAGTGACTGGGAACAAATCCCTGCAGAACACCAATGTTTAAGGGAAGAGGAGAAGTAAGACCCATTGGGAAGAACTTTAAGGAATGATCTGAGTTCGAGAGCAAGAAAAGGCAGTGTCAAAACATCTGGAAAGCAGGGGGTTTCAAGGGGTGACATGTCAAATATAGCAGAGAGGACTTGAACATATAAGAATTAAAAAGCATCACCCTCTAGGTCAATACGGGGATCACTGGTAAAACATAGGGCAATGGAGGCAGAAGCCAGATTGCAGACGTTTAAAATGCAATTGCAAAATGGACCAAGTGGAGACAATGGATGTGGACACATTTTTCCAAAAGTGTGACTTGGAAGAGCAATGTCTAAAGGAAGAAAGGACCAAGGGAGGGCTTTGTTTTTTGGCTTTTTGAATAAGAGATTCTTAAGGATGTTTACACGGTGAAGGGAGAAGGTAAGAAGAAATGGGCAAGATACAGGAGAGGAAGGAAGAGTGGATGGTGGGTGGTCCCAGCAGGAGAGGAGTGGAGAGAACAGGAACATAGGCTCAGCCTTCCTAGCCCTGGAAGGGGTGAGGTGAGGATGAGAGCCTGGCAGCAGGAGGGCAAGATGGAGGGAGCTCATGTCAGGTGGCTTCCGTTTTCTCAATGAAGTCGATAGCTAGAGGTTTGCTGGGAGGGTAGTGGATAATACTGGAAAAGGGGTCTTGAGGAGAACGGTAAAAGTCTGAAGAGAGAACAGGAAAGGGTACTCACCAATGACGCAGAAGACCTAGTTGAGGTTAGAGCCCTCATCGAGTTGGGACTCTGTAACACATGAGCCCAATAAAGAACATAACAAGGAATTTCTTTAAGACCCTAACACTGTCTTCTAATTTTCAAAGTTCTTATTTGCTAAACATTTTCATTCTGTGATTTATTTATTATTCTGTGATATAGTACCAGGGGTTTAATGATGGTCTATCTTTCTGACAAAAAGAAGTCTGTCACTCTCTTGGCATTGTCCTTACTTCTGGGGGAGAGATGGATTGTCATGAACTAAATTGACCAGAAGTCAAAAAGTAGGCAAGATAGTCATGGGCTCTGATTCACAGCCTCCTCTGATACTGGACCCTCCAATGTACCCTCCGATGATCTGATCTGTCTCTTCCTGGAGGCTATAGCAGTCATTGAGTGCAGACGCCAGAGCCAGTGGGTTCAATGGCCCTAAAGGTCTCAAACATTCCTCAAGTTCGAATCTCAGCACAAACACTTATTAACTGTATAATCATGAGTACCACTCATGTCTCAGTTCCTTCATCTGTAAGATGGAGATACCAACAGCACCTACTTCATAGGATCATTCTGAAAATTAAATAAATAAATATACATAAAAGCACTCAGAACAGGGTCTGGCCCAAAGTAAGTCTTCAACAAATATCGCTATTTCTGGGTCCCATTCCCTTCCTCTTAGCATCCTTCTTTCTTGTTATATCTTTTGTACTTTCTTTTCTCCCTAATAAATAGCAGCTATAGTTGGAAGTTTTCCTTTTTTTGTTGTTGTTGTTTTGTTTGAATCAGTTTTTTCTTTTTTTAAGATTTTATTTATTTATTTGACAGAGAGAGAGAGGGAGCAGGGGGTTTGACGGGGGGGGGAACAGGGGGAGCGACAGAGGGAGAGGGAGATGCAGGGCTTGCTGCTGAGCAGGGAGCCCGACATCAGACTGGATCCCAGGACCCAAGGCTCATGACCTAAGCTGAAGGCAGATGCTTAAATGACTGAGCCACCCAGGAGCCCCTGATCCAGTTTTTTGTTTTTAAAAGTGATATTTTATGCATTATAAGAATAATTTATGTATATTGTAACAAAAATACCAAACTCTAAACAATCTCATAAGGCAGAAAATAAAAGCTTCCCTTACCCCCAGTGTCATTCCCCAAAAGTAAACATTAAGTTTGTAGTCTGTTATAATCTTTTTAGTTTAAAAATTCTTACCTAACCTTTAACAGAATTTTTCTATGCGCTCATGTGTATGTATTTTTGTTTACAAAAGTGGGACTATATTCTCATATACTGTTTTGCACTTTTTTTCTCTTTACTAAACAACTTATCACTAACATCTCTTCATGTCAGCACATCCTGATCTACCTTAGTATTTTTTTTTAACCACACCGGCATAACCACTCTGTTTCTCAAATTTTTTCTTTGAAGGGAAGGAAAAGAGGACTGTAAAGAAAAAAACTCAGAACTGATCTCCTGATTTTAAGGGTTTCTATCTCTACACATGAATATGTCCTTCCTGGTCCCACTCAGACTCACCACTACTTCCTCTCTAACCAAACTCCCAGAGACCATTGGAATATCCATGTGGATTCATCCCATAAATGGATAAAAACCTCCTTGGATTTACTCTTGATGTTTAGACCAGTATAATGGAAAAGTGGCCACTTTCCAAAAGGATTTTTTTTTTTGTCAACACAAGTTTTCATGAGAGATATCTAAAATAATGGCAAGAAATCAAAATAATATGAAAAGTTACAGTGGGTTCCAAATTCTATAATATTGAAGCAAGAAGATTCCCCTAATGGGTTCAAGGTGGTCCGGGAGAGGTTGGGGGAGGGCTAAAGGCCAGAGCTGTGACTGTAATTGTGGTGGAACTTTCTGGAATCCTGTATCTTTCCATAGATAATAAGTTTGCAAAACTAGCAACTATTGCAAACAACACCTAAAGAAGGGGGTTAAATAATGCTTCTGCTTTATTTAAGTCAAATTTTAACTGTGAAAGGCTTTGTCCTATACAACTTTTTGTGTTCTCCAAACAAGAAAGAACAGAGAACAAGATATTTAAGGGTAATTTTCTATACGACTGAAGTAGAGAGTAAATTTATGGGGGCATGACTACCGAGGGCACTTGAAATGCCATTACACTTAGCCCTATGTAAATTTCAAGAACAAATGCATTGATGATTACATTGCCTTTTGCTTCTCTGCCAGCTATCATTTTTCCTAACCTGGCAGAAATGTAAAAAATTAACCTACCTCTTTTCCCTTGACTAGAAAAACGAAGAAGCTTCAATGAAGAGAAATGTTCAAAACACAGGTTGTATTTCAGGCTCTTACAGATCTCTGCAGGGGTATTTGCTCCTGTTAAAGTGTCTGAGACCAAAGAGGCATTGCCTGTCTGGGGCCAGGCCCCCTGACTCTCCCAGCCTGAAGCTCCTGCCTTACCTGCCGCATTATGCTGGTGATACCAGATCAAGTCAGGGATGGATTGAAAGAGGTGTTTTTCAGCCACGTACCACTGTCCTGAGTCATTCTTTTTAATCTGATAATGTTTGATGGTAGCCTCCATATTTCTACAATCAATAGAACGTGAATTAGTAAACAAGCAAAAGATCACTTTGGAACTAAGTCAATTCGTGAAGCGACAGGACTCCACCTCTAAAACTTTTATCCTAGTGACACTACACACTGCAGAGTGGGTTAGATTCAACTGGTGCCTCACCACGCCTGGGTAAATTCCTGAGCCATCTTATTGGGTCCTTAGATTCGAACATAACTTCAGCCAAAGTTGTCTAGTTGACAACTCCTGTGTCCAAAATAGTAGAGCCTGTTAGGGACACTTATAAGTATTTAGTTATCAGTTCAATGAGTGAATAAATGCACTGCGAGGGATATAAGGAGATATGAAACAAAGAAAGGAGGAAAACCGATAGAGAGTATATTGATGAGCAGGTTTGCTATAGCTACTGGGGCTCTAGGCAGCCACGAGAGACTGTGGAACACATCTGAGAATTGTCCCATGAAAGTGCAAAGGAGCTGAGGGGCTAATCTTCCATTCCTTATTGACGGAGGGTTGCTCCTAGGATGCTACCTCTCAGGCACCTCCAGTCTACCCATGGGGACCCCAAGTTCCCACAGCCAGAGAACATCCTCCAGCAGAAAGGCACAGGACGCTTTCTGAGTGCAGGAGAATGCTCTGCAGGTAAACCCCAAGGGATATGAGGAAAGGACCACCATTGTCTGCTACCACTAAGCCAACTTCCTCATGGTTGAGAAAAGGAGATGGGAGAGAGAAGTCCCTTAACTTAGCAAAGTCACACACAGAGCTTGTTAGGAATACAACTCGAACTGATCAGTTTTACTAACTTCCAGGCCAGCAATCTTCTGTGCTAAGACCTCTCTTTCTCCATGTGACAGTGTCTCACCAAGAAAGACTGTCCCAAGAATTGATACCTCTAAAGTGATCAAAATCACAATTGCTTACCTTCTAGCTTTTATAAACACAGAAATTGTGTAGGATCCCAAATGTCTTGAATCTCTGACAATAAACGCACCTTCTTTAGACTGCAAAACAATTCATTGTACAAATTTAGTCGTTATTAGGAAGAAAGACAAACCTACATCTCAGGAATGAAAACCAAACCATACTGACTTACTACAAGTGAATGGGATTGTTTTCACAAATATATGCAATCTTATCTCCCTTATACGTTAAGAAGTCACACCTACAAAAATATTTAATTGGGACAAGAATTTGTAATGTATGAGTATTTTTAAAACCTTGTTCCTGATTTTTCTAAGAAAAATTCTGCACTTGACAACCTTGTACCCCACCATTTCATTATTTTTGTTATATCAATCAAGGTAATTGATACACATTGCTGATGAACAGGAAGCGCTGTGAGACAGATTGGCAGGTTGTATTTTGGGAGAAAAGCAACAACACAGCAGGTGGGGTGAGGGAGGCAACAAGAAATACATCTGGAAGCAGGGAGTGGGAAAAGGGAGCAGAATCCATGACAGGGATGGAGAGAGAATAACTTTGAGGGAGTCTGGAGAGAAGAGCGGAGGAGTGATTTTAGTTGCCGCCAGGGTATGGGAGAGACAAGAAGGGAATGGGCTTGAGAGAAGAGTATTTTAAGTTTGATGTTAGGTTATAAATTGGATTCCCACTGACGTCCTCTGGGAAGCCCCAATAAAGCTGTAAACTGTTTTCAAATGACTTGGAATGTTGGACTGTTTGGTTTGTGTTATTTGTTTGATATTATAAAAAAAAGTTTCCACCTTTACTTAGTGTGTTTACACTTGTGGAGAGGGAAACATCTCAGAAGCTTGCCAAACGTGTGAAAGTTTACACTTTCGAAGTGCCAACAACTTGCCTGAGAATTGCCCTAACCCAACAAACACCATGGTGTAACCATCAAAGTGAGCACGATACATTAAGCAAAGTCTTCTCTTCCTTCTAGATGCTTACCAAGGAACAAGCCTCATTTTCTGGTCAGACTTTTAAAACCAAAAAATCTCTTACAGCCATTTGAAATAATAAAAATCTAGCTTTTATTGAATTCCTACCATGTCTACAGATTGTGTTACAAACCATAGAGGACAGAAGATATAAAAGATGAAGATGTAAAAATACGCAGAGATACTATGCATTCAATCAAGTTGTCTAAGCAGTGACCTCCTCTTCAAGGTGGAAAGAGTGCAAACAGTCATGACCACAAAGCAATAAAAGGAGAAATTAATAACAAGCCCCAAAGGAGAAAGCTACTACTGCATGGATATTTTTAAGTTCTCTTTTATATAACTCAAGGAAATTCAAATAAAAATGAAAACATCTAGAAAATAATAAAGAAATGCCACATATTGGAAACTGCTATAGCGTTCAAACAGTACTCAGTCTTAATGCTTACATCAATAAACAAAGGAAATACAAAATAAATGTATCTGCCTCAAGAAGTTAGGGCAAGAACCAGGTCAAGTGGAAGAAAGAAATGAATGAAGACAAAAGCAGAAAACAATCAATTATAAAAACAAAAATATAATAAAGCTAGTCATTAAGTTCAAAATCTGGTTATAGAGGGAAAAACGATGAAATAGGTAAGTTGCTAACCGATCTAACCAATAAATGAGAGGGGAAATATATCAAAAAAATAAGCCACAAAGATCCAGAAAAAAATGAAAGCATCACCTTGACTCTACACAATACATTTGAAAATTTGAATGAAATGAGTGATTACCTAGCAAAACATAAAATTTATCAAAATTGATTCCAGAAGATCTGGAAATGTTCATGGACCTACTGAATGGGAAAATGGATACGGCTTTAAAAGAGCTACAACATTAAAAACACCACGGAGGACCTATTGTGATGTTGCATGATTCCAGAGCATGTGAAAAGAAGAAAAACTTCTAAATTTTTATATAAAGTGGGTTTAACACCAACACCAACAATACAGCAAAGATTGTGCACAGAAGGGAAAACTAACAAATCTCACTCATGTCCACTCAAAAATCCTAATTAAATATTAACAAACTGAATCCAGTAGCACAGTGGAAGAATAATATACCATGACCAAGAGGGATTGCATACAGGAATGAAAAAGTAATTCAATATTAGGGATTTTATTAATTCATCCTACTAACAGATCTGAGAAGAAAAATCTCATGAACATCACCATAGATATTGAAAGGGCATTTGACAAATTTCAACTTCTAGAATCAGTTTTCTTTAAATTCTCAGTAAAATAGTAATAAATGTGTACTTATGTAACACAATAGTCCATATTTACGTTAGTCCCAAGTCCAGCATTATGTTTTCTGTTGAGAATCATTCCAACTAAATCAGGAAAAAGAAATGCCCACTGCCAGCACTGGTATTTTAATATTGTTCTGAGATGCCAGCTAATACAATTAAATGAGAGGCCAAAAAAAAAAGAAAGAAAGAAAAGAAACCAAAACAAAACAAAAACCCACCAAGAAATACTGTATTAAATTGTAAAAAGGAGTTGAAATCATCACTGTTTGCTATTGATAAGAGTCTACCTGAAACTCATGAGAATCAACTAAAAAACTACTACCAAAAAAAATTTTGAATTCACCAAGTCTTCTGTTACAAAATTAATTCACAGAACTCAAGAGCTTTCATAAGTTAAAAAAAAAAAAGATACCCATTTATAGTAGCAACAGAAAAATACACAAACAAATGTGCAAGAGCTATATGAAGAAAACTCTAAAATGTTCCTAAAGGGGCTCCTGGATGGCACAATCAGTTGGGTGACTGACTCTTGGTTTCTGCTCAGGTCACGATCTCAGAGTCCTGAGATCAAGCCCCGTGCTGGGCTCTGCACTCAGCCTGGAGTCTGATTGGAATTTTTCTCTCCCTCTCCTTCTGCCCCTGGCCACACTGTGCACATGCTTTCTCTCTCTCTCTGTCTCTCTCTCTCTCAAATAAATAAATAAATCTTTAAAAATAAATCAATAAATGCTCCTAAAGAATATAAAGATGTTTGCTTTTCTCATTAGGTTTTCAATCCATCCAAGATTTATTTTTTTTTTGAAGTAGGGACCTAATTTTTAATTTTTTCTACAGGAATATTTAATATGGGTCCCAGAACAAATTGGTCCCCAAACCCCACTGATTTGTAATGCCCAAACAATTTTCCCTAAATTACTCTGTAAATTTAATACACCAGCAGGAAGGTTTTTAAAACTAGGCAAAATAATTGTGAAGTTCATATGTATAAAATAAATCTCCAGAGTATTTCTGGAAAAGAAGAGTGAGGGAGGCTAGCCACACAAAAAGAACCTCAGTATTTGAAATATTATAAAGGTATCACCTAAATACACGGGCTGATCAATAAAACTAAGTAGTGAGTTCAGACGTAGTCCAACATAGGAGCTGTGTTTATGATGAAAGTGGTACCTCAAATCAATACAGAAAAGATAGACACTTGGTAACTATCTAGAAAAATATAAATAAAATCAGATCCATACCTCACTCTACATCAGGAAGAATTACAAATGAATCAAACATGTCTATGTAAAAAATAAAACCACTGAAGTAATCAAGAAACATGGGCATTTTTTTTTTAAAGCTCAGAGTGGGTAAGATAATTCTAACCTGACACAAAGCTTTAAAAAATTTGTCTGATAAATTCAAACACATAAAATTTAAGCACTATTCATGGCAAAAAAAAATATGACAATTGAAAAACTGGGAAAAGTATTGCTACATATCACAAAGAGCTGATTTCCTTAATGTAGCTACGCTACATAGGTCCTACGAATTGTGAGGAAAGCATTAAAAAACAACAACAACAACAGAAAATTTTGCAAAGGATATGAACAGACAGCTTACAGAAAAGGAGATACAAATATTTAAAATTTCATATACATAGAGATGCTTAACATTCTTGGGATAGGAGAAATGTAAATGAAACCCACACTGAGATGAGATGTCCGAGAGCAAAGTGCCACACATTTCATTAAACATTTGCTGGAAAGGTTGTGAGAAAATGGGCACTCTTACAACTTTTAGCAGGTATGTAAATTGTATAACTCCTGTAGATGGTATTTAATACCTCCCCAAATTAGAAATGTACATTTCCGGGCGCCTGGGTGGCTCAGTTGGTTAAGCAACTGCCTTCGGCTCAGGTCATGATCCTGGAGTCCCGGGATCGAGTCCCACATCGGGCTCCCTGCTCAGCAGGGAGTCTGCTTCTCCCTCTGACTCTCTTCCCTCTTGTGCTTTCTATCTCTCATTCTCTCTCTCTCTCAAATAAATAAATAAAATCTTTAAAAAAAAGAAATGTACATTCCCTTCGACCCAGAATTTCTATCTTGGGGGATTTATCCTACATATATACTCACATAAATGGGAAAAGATGTGTAGGTAGGTTACCTATAGCAGCACTGTTTTTGTTTTATTTTAAAGATTTTTATTTATTTCTCTGACAGAGAGAGAGACAGCGAGAGAGGGAACACAAGCAGGGGGAGTGGGAGAGGGAGAAGCAGGCTTCCTGCCGAGCAGGGAGCCCGATGTGGAGCTCGATCCCAGGACCCCGGGATCATGACCTGAGCCGAAGGCAGACGCTTAATGACTGACCCACCCAGGCGCCCCAACAGCACTGTTCCAATAGCAAAAGAGTGTATACCACTTAAATTCCCATTAAATTTTTTTAAAGATTTTATTTATTTATTTTAGAGGAGCACAAGCAGGGGGAGGGCAAGAGGAGGGAGAGAGAATCCCAAGCAGACTCGGGGCCGAGCGCAGAGCCCCACGCAGGTAATCCCATAACCCCGAGGTCACAACCAATCGGAAACCATGAGTCCAGCGCTCCACCCCTCCATTAAATTTCTTAAATAAAGTGTGATATGTCCAATGTAAGAAATACTATGCAGGTGTAGCATGAATGAGGACACTTTCTGTGTATTGACATGAAGAGTTTCCTTCCCAAAACATACTGCTGAGTGAAAAAAGTAATGTACACAAGAGTATATATAATACGTTACCATTTGTGTAAAAATAACAATATAAGAAAATATATTTCTATTTGTTTGTGTATGTATTAAATATCCCTGAAAGGACACAAAATAAACTAATAATAGAAGTTGGTCTATGGGGAAGGGAACCGGTATCTTGGGGACAAGGATGGGAGAAAACTTCAAAATCTTTTGATTTTTAAACTATACGAACATGCCATTGAAATGTAAAATAAATAAAATTATAAAATACTTCTATAAAAATTTATGCAATCAATTTGAAAATAAATATAAAGTAGGCAATTCTCCACGTAAATATAAATTGTCAAACATCTCAAGAAGAAAAGGAAATTAAATCAGTAGTCAGTTATCTGTTTGAAAAAGCTGCATGTCCAAACTACTTTATGAGAGATATATGTAACTTCAAGGAGCAAATAACTTCTATTCAATATAAACTATTTTAAAGATTGGAAAGAGACAAAACCTCATGTCCCAACTCATTTTATGATGCTAGTATAGCCTTTATACTAAAACTAAACAAAGAGAGTGGGAAATTAGAAGCCAGGCCTCTTGTGAACATAGCAGGACAAATGCTAACTAAAGTATTAGGAAACTCAAACTATCAATATATATGTTTTAAATGCCTCATGATCAGGTAGGATTTAATCCAGGTACTTAAAAAAATAGAAAATATATAAATTACAAAAATATTTTTAGATATATAGGAAAAACATGTATATTTTTTAAAATATCCACACATATAACACACACACACACACACACACACACACACACACACTTTAGACAGATTAGGACCTAAATAGGAAAAGCAAATCTTTAAACCATTTAAAAGAAAATATCACTTTATCACTTCAGGAGAGAGAATTTATTATACTGAAAAAGGAAAAAAAGAGATCATAAAAATTGAGAAATTTGACATTAACATATTTTAAAATTTAAAATAAGAAAAGAGCATAAAAAATTTTAGGGCCAAAAATCAAAAGAACATAGTGAAAAATGAGCAAAGGGTATTAGCAGACGTGTAATAGCAGAGGAAGTCCAACTAGCCAGCACAGACATGGAAAGTCACTCAACTGAACTGTTTATCAAGGAAATGCACATTTTAAAATATATATATACCATTTCTCAGTGAATCAAAGAAAGGCTACCAACTGTTGGCAAGAATGTAGGGGACCAGTTTTCTCATTTCTTGTAAGGATATAAATTAGTACAAGTACTTTGAGTCATGATTTCAAAATATCTAGCAATACTAAGTCTGCACATAGTTTCTGACCAGATCATTTCTGGGTATAACCGAAAGAAACCCTTGCCCTTGTGTACAAGGTGATATGTGCATGGAAGTTCTTGGCAGCATTGTTTATAATACTAAGAAGTTAGAAACAAGGTGAATGATTAGTAATACGTTTGTTATACTCATCTAATGAAATACAGCAGTTAAAGGAATGTGTTTACTCTTTATGTACCCATGGGAATGAAACTGAAATACAATGTTTCATTAAGAATCAACATACGTATGATCTCCCTTATGTCAAATGTTAAAACACATAACACTATAGGCTGTTCATGCACCTATATATGATAAAAATATAAGCACATGGATGCAGTGGGGGCACACCCTTCTATGGTGATTGTCTCTGCAGAGTGGGCAGGGACAAAACAGATGAGGGAAGGGATGGGTGTCAATTGCATCCGCCAGGTTTTATTTTGTCTAAGAATGTTATGGCCAAATGTTGCTCTTTGTGCTGTCTGGGTTATGGGTGTGTGGAGGTTTGTTACATAACTCCCTGATCTAGTCTTTGTAAGAAGGTCAGCCCCCCACTCTGTTCTGGCTCCCTGGCAGGCGCAAGAGTCTCTCCTGCTGATCCCGCACAGCCCCTGTGATTTTGGCGATCACCTGTACTAACTTGCCTACTGTGGACTGACTTGAGAATTTTCCTTCTCCGGTTCTGCCTACTTGTCATAACATCTGTGTCCATTCTAGACCTACTAATATCACTTTACAGGAGGCCACCTGCTGTCACCATGCCAGGTGGGTCCCACATTTGCTGCCGCGTCCCATTTCCTCCTAGCCAGTGAAGCCTCCTTCCCCACCACCAGCTGAGACTGGGTCTGGGTCACTCAAACTCTGTCTAACCCCCTGCTATTCACCGGACCTCCCCTCTCTCTTGAGCCCTTACTGGCATTGACTTTGTAGTTCCAGAACTGATTCTTTCTCACTCATATTTCTAGATTTCCTCAACATCCGACAGCAGGGCAAAGTGACACACATACCTCTTACCTAGTTTCTAGGTTTGACTCTACATTTACCCACAGTTCGTATTTACCGTCCGTTGGAAACTATATGCACCTTTGTTTTGCTTTGACCTAAAAGAGCAGTTTTGATCTGAGTTTGGTATTTTGGCTACCTCACTCTTCCTTTTGTTCCCAAAGAACAAAGAAAGTGCAGCACTCAGTATTTTTCTCTATTTGTGTTTTTAAGAAGCCTTAGCTAAGCTCATGAAGACAGAGGATATATTTTGTCTGTGATGCAAAGGTGTATGGGCAATCCCAATATAGACTCTACTGCGGGACGCGCTTTGGAGTGAATGAGGAGTTTCAGTATGTTGGAGTTGAAATCATTTCAGGAAAAATACACTTCTCAAGTTACAATGAAAGTCAATGAAAAACATGAGCTGATACAAATACATCTGGTTTACAACTTATCAGAAATTGCACAGTAGAGATAAAGTTGTAATAATATTTTATAACCCAAAAGAACAAGAAGTAATAAAACTTTTTAGTTTGGTCAAATCTTTACAATGTACATGTTAGAAATTTTGAAAATATTCACAAGTTATTCATGAATAAACTGAATTACCTCTTGTCTCAAAATACGTTCTGCCTGATTTCTGGTAATGTTTCTATGGTACCACCTGTAAAAGCAATAAAAATAATTTTAAAATTTTGTATTCTATTTTTTCCAGAAAAAAAAAAACTCTGCTTCATTTCCTTCATTTTTAAGAACTTTACTCCAGAACTGATTTTAGAAAGCTGAGCATTTTTTATTTCCGATAAACAACAATATACTATTATGTGTCATTTAGTATAATAGTTTTATTAATTGTAAGCCAATACCTAGCTTATTCTATCATATCTCAATTCAACTTTCTGACATATACTTAGTTTACGATTTTGAGCAATTTAATCTCCTGAAAATTTCATGAAACGTATGTGGTTTACGTATGTGGTTAAGAAGTCAATAAACATTTACTGAGCTTTGGTAGACAAACTAAAAAATACCCATTTCTTTCTTTGCTTTTAGTAACTTCCTATTTGCATGCTTTCATATGTGGCCATGTTACCGTTCCAAAATTAAAACGTACTCTGACCCATTTGAGTCCCCCAAGTATGCTAACTTGTAGTAAAGTTAGTGGTTTAATAATGTAAATGGAGCAACTAGTACCTGCCTTGCTCCAAACACCCTCTTATCTTTCTGCTTGTTCTCCCCTCATGCTAAGCTTCGGCCATATTGGGATTCTTTCCTTCCTCAAATTCACCAAGCCCCTTTCTGCCTCCTATCTTGCTGTTTCCTCCGTATGAAACATATCATGAAATGACTTTAGAATATCGGATCCTCTCACAGTAAACGCAATTAAATGAGTATAATTGAAACCCATAGTTTGGCAGAATAAGAGCTAGTCAGTAAGCAAATGTTGTACAGGAAAGAGAGAGGAAATGGTAGAACAAAGGAGAGAGAAAACAAATGGAAAAGTTTTCATTTCAAAATAAGATTTTAAAAAGGAGTTAAGGGAATATTACCAGAAATACTATTTTTGTGGACAGTGGAAGGAAGAATGCATATATAACCATACATTGAGTCACAGTGGGTAGGCCAAATGGTGGCTACGTGAAAACCCTCTATCTGACTTTGAGGACAGAATCTATCATATCTTGTGGACTGACCTGCAGTAGTAAAAAGCTGCCACTAAATTAGAATGGTCACATATTAAAAATACTAATGGCCTCAAGTTGAAAATGAACTTTTAAAAAGATAAAGCATAGAGAAGAGAGGATGATTACAGGTGATTCTAGAAGAAACCCCTGGACTACTTATCACTAGTGGGAACAGGAGTTAACTGTGATGCTGGACTGTGAATATCATTCAGTACTTTTTAATGAATATTCATACTGGGGAGGGACTTCCAGAATGAGTCTAAGACCTCTTGCTGTAGAAAGAAGAAATTCTTTCAAAATAAATGAGAGAGGGTAAGCATCTGCCTTTGGCTCAGGACATGATCCCAGGGTCCTGGGATGGGGTCCCGCAGTGGGCTCTCTGCTTGGAGGGAGTCTGCTTCTCCCTCTCCCTCTATCCCTCCCCCCACTCACCCAAGAGCGCATGTGCCCATGTGCGCGCACGCTCTCTCTCTCAAATAAAATCTTTTTTTAAAAAGTTCACATAAATTGTTTTCTTCTAAATGTTTCTCACCTGCAATCACATTAAGTGTTAATTTTGTTGTTTTGTACTTATTTATTATGGTGATAAGTAATATAAGGAAATATATTAATTTTGCTTCAATATAAGTTAAAAATCCATCCATGTGTGGATGTCATTAAAATGACTTCAAAGTAGTAAGAGAAGAACCAGAGACAAGTATATGATGAATTTCATATCCTTTAAAATAATGCAGAATTTCAACAGGCAGAAAAAAGAATAGATGGATATGATATAGGAGAGGTGGGGGGGCATGCTGTTTCAGAATTTCATCTGGTTAAATCAGATAGTGAAGAAGACTTTTGTGTTTTGTTTTGTTTTGTTTTGTTTTTAAATAGGTAAGGCTGCAACTCTTATGCCTAGACAACACTGATTATAAAACTCATACCGAATGATGTGGACAGAAGGCTTAGGGTGGGGCTTCTACTGGCATATGAAAACCATCCAGCATGTCCAACTGGTGCCAAGTACAAAGGTCTTGTATATGTGTAAGCCTCGGGTAACCCTGTCCCAGTCTTAGAATCAACAAGTAACAGTATTGTGGTCTTGAGTTTTCAACCTAGAAACCCTGTTAGATCTAAGATGGTAAATCTGCTTCTCTCAGTCATTTTTTAACCCTGAGAAAATGAAACTTTCAATAGAGAGAAAATGCAATAAATGAAACTCATACTTCTGTAAAATTCAGCATAAGCAATATGTTTGATATTTAAGGTATCTATTATTGGGGCACCTGGATGGCTCGGTCAGTTAAGCAACTGCCTTCAGCTTAGGTCATGATCTCAGGGTCCTGGGATGGAAATCCACATCGGGCTCCCTGCTCAGTGGGGAGTCTGCTTCTTCCTCTCCCTCTGCCCCTCCCCCCACTTGTGCTCATTCTCTCTCTCTCTCAAATAAATAAATAAAATCTTTAAAAAATAAAATAAAGTATTATTTTAAGAGAATCGGACATACTAAGTTGTAGCCTCTGATTTTAAATGCAAAATTAATTTTAAACTTACAATTTGAAGTTTAAGGGAATTTGATTGTTTAAATGTTTGTATGGTTATGAGAATTTGGCTTACCACATTTAAGTTTAATTTATTAGATTTCTGGGATCATATATGAACTTACAAAGGGCTATTGAAATTGTAAATTTGCCCTGTCAGGCATGTAAAATATTTAAACAGAAAAATGAATTCATTCAGTTTATTAGTGCAAGTGAAATGTTTCAGGAAATTTCATTAACTGAGCTTATAAATAGGACTGATTGTTTAAGGACACTGTTGAGTTTGAATTAAGGTGACTGTTCTGATTTTTTTAGATTTATAAACAGTATATCAAGATTTGAAGGCTTACTGAAAACCAGGTTTTCACATTGTAATGATGATAATTTGGATATTAATTTAAAACCAAAGTAGCCATAAATATTTCAAAGTATAAAGGTTCCCCTGAGATGTCAGAAGCCTACACTAACATAGCATTCCTTCCCCATCCACCCCTCTTCCTTTAGACCTCAGGTCACTTCCTCAGAGGTCTTCCCTATCCCAATATTCTCATCTTTTAGCCTTGCCCATTGATTTCTCCCAGTGTCCCATACTGTTCTTTCATGACACCACAATTAAAAAAAAATTTTTTTAAGATTTTACTTATTTATTTGACAGAGAGAGAGAGAGAGAGCACAAGTGGGGGGGGGGCAGCAGCAGAGGGAGAGGGAGAAGCAGACTCCCCGCTGAGCAGGGACCCCCCCCCCATGCAGGACTCCATCCCAGGACCCTGGGTTCATGACCTGAGCCGAAGGCAGACGCTTAACCCACTGAGCCACCCAGGCGCCCCCACAATTTAAAATTTTATATTTATTTGTGAATTTGAGGTTTATGTTTAATGTCTCTTTTCCCATGAAGCTGTAAGTTCCACAAAAGAAGGGAGTGCATCCATGTGTTATCTGTTGTATCTCCAGTGCCCAGAACAGCTAACACCCGGCACATCATAGGTGGACGATAAATAAAGATTGAACAGATGAGTGATTCAGGGGCGGAGGTAACTATGAAATGTGGTACCTCTGTAACAGCAGGCAAACTGGGAATGCCCTTCCTGTTAGCTTCACAGTTCTAGAATGTATCAAATATTTACTATGTCCTACATGAGACAGGTATCACAGTTCCAAGTTTTCATATCATTTAGAGGTTTATAGATATTCAGTAATTCTGCCCAGAGCCCAAGCACTAGTCAGTGGTGATGTCAGGACTTGAACCCAGATTTCTCCAATTTCTAAACCTATACTATAGTATTTCAACCTAGGGCCATAATTTCTACACAGTCATTAAAACGATGCTTGGCATATAGTAAGTGGTGGATATATTTTAGTGATTTATATTGATAATTATTGTATCTATATTTTAACAAACCCCTTTAAAAAGAAACAGAAATAAAAATTAATTTTCTCACAATTAGAAAATTAAAGAAGATAACTTTCAAAGACACATAAATCAAAGCCAAGAAAATGAGATGATTATTTTAAGTTCAGGGTAGTTTAATTCAAATTACCCAATATCTACAGTATGAACAAGCTGTTAAGGGCAGACTCCAACCCTCAGCTAAACTAAGGAAGCAGCCAGCAAATTAATTAATAATGAAAGGAAGGAAAGTCACACTGTTGCTTAGTGAGCATCCATTTACTCACTACCGGGCACTGTGTTAGGTAGTTTCACACATATCACCTTTAATCTCCTGGAAAGTCTGAACTGGGTTTACGATATGGAAAAAAGGCTTCTTTTTCTTAACAGGAGATCCTCACACAGAACTTCCCCTGACCTGACCTTCAAAAGAGACCTATTGTGTTGGGCCGCTCCAGTTGGGGGCAGTGGCGAGCCCCCCAAGGTGACCGTAGAGAGTTGTGAAACTGTTTTCTTAGCCTTTGTCCCACTGGGTGGAGGCTAGACTTGTGGGGGCACAAGCTAAATGACTCTGGTCAAGAGAGGGGGCATGACAAGCTGAGGGAAGGCGGGAGAAGACCGAAGAGATCTGCGATGGTACTAAGCGGGGAGGGGGGAGAGAGAACAGAAGTAGCTAAGAGAGAAGCCTGGTAAAGTCATGTGGATGTGTCACGGGTCCTGTAGTCATCCCTTTGTCCCCTCCAATAAAGTCCACATTGTTCACCAATGCTTTTAGAGATTTATTTATTTTAGAGAGAGAAAGAGCGCGTGCATGCGTGTGCCCATGCGAGTGGGGGGAGGGGCAGAGGACGAGAATCCCCAGACAGACTCCCACGTGGGGCTCCATCCCACAACCCATTAGATCATGACCTGAGCCAAACCAAGAGTCAGATACTCAACCAAGTGAGCCACCCAAGCGACCCCCACCAATACTTTTAGAATTGGATTTGCTTTAGGGAGAGAGATGCTGAGTCTGGCCTCCACGTGGGCTTAAATTAGTAGCAAGGCAGACACCTAGGGCCTGGGAAGGAGGGGTTGGTTTTCATTCAATTTATATTTGCTGCCTGGTTCTCTGAGAAGCACCTGTCTTCATGCCTCAACCCACATCACCTACTGCCATAAGGCTGGAAGCATAGGCTAATCGCAAAAGCGAGTATCTAAACTGGGGGAGAGCACTCAAATGCTAAAACTTATGCAAACCTGAATTTATAAAAGGCTAGGACTACTCTCAGTTCTGCCACTCTCTGCTTGTAAATTACTCCCACAACCTTAGTTTCGGATCTGCAGAAAGGGGGTCTAGAAAAGTGATTGCTAAGACCTCCATCTTCCAAATCTATCATTGTAACAAAAATAAGTTTCTAAGCAGAACCTTAGTGAACATGCCAAAAGTTCCCCCCAAACTATAGCATTAGCCTGCTTCTCCTCTTTAGCTATTTCTAAAACGTTTCAAAATATAGTTGTGTGTCTCTATGTTAGGCTCAATTTACCACTCATTAAAAAACTAAGGTCATTTTTGAAATAGTTATTTTTCCATTTAGGACATAGAGTAAAACAAGACCAAGATGAGTGTTTGGTTTCCATGCAGTCACTGTTAAAACAAACCCAAAAAAGTGGTCATAAAAAACAAAACAAAAAGAAGTTTAAAAAAAGAAGTTTCTGAATCAACCATTATAAGGATCAAAGATCTCTCAAACTAAAGCATACAGATGTGTTACTTTCTTTTCCTTTTGTAGACCAAAACCAGCTTCTATACTCGTAAGCCACCCAAATGTACCTGATTTTTCACAGAGCAACCATAGACCATATTTTGGAGGAGACTTACTCATATATTTCTAAATTGGTTAGTTTGTTCTCGGTCACATAGTTGCTTGGGATTAAGCCTTCATTCCTACAACAAAAGACAAAGCCAAAATCAAAATGCTTGGCACATCTGTGGCATTATCGTGACAACAATCCTTTTAAAACCTCAAGGACATAGGAGGAAATCCAACTCGTTTTACTGATTAAATTGCTAAAAGAAGAAAAAGGATTTTTCATTTCCATATTCAACCAAAATCTCTGTTTGACAAATACTAAGGTTCTGACTTACAATGGAAGTAATTTAAGATGTTTCGTGACACCAAAATTTTTCAAAGAGGGAAAGCGGCACTTACGAGATCATTGGGATGTCATAGTGACTAGATTAAAAACACAGCAACAACAAAGATATCAACTTAATTCTTTTGAATTGCCGTAAAACAGGTAGAATAGATGTTCTGGTTTAGCCATGTCCCTATTATAGCAAATGCTGCAAAGAAACACATGAACATGCCTTCTTGTGCACCGGGAAAAGTAATTCTCTAAGACAGACACCAAACAGGGAAATTGCTGGGTCACCAAAACATACCAATTTACACACCCATCAGCAGGGTAAGGGCTTCTCTTTTTCTATACTTTCACCAACAAAATTTGAAATTATAAAATTGCAAAAAGATCTCCATGACATTATTGAAAAATCCAAGCAAGTTGCAGAACAACACACAAAGCATGGTAAGGATTAGGTAAACTAAATCTGCAAATAAGAAGGTGTATTTCAATATGTGCATGAAAGTGCATGGAAAATTTTCCAGAAGGGTACTCACTAAGTGAATAATGGTGCTGGGGTTTGGAGGCATTATTTATCATGGTTGCATATTATAAAAAGCGATATTCACTTATTAACTTTGAAATTAAAAGGTAATTCGTCTTTTTTTAAAGTCTGAGTCATGCCAATGCCAACCTGCAGGAGGGCTAATTACATGGTTCTGAACCTACTCATACCTCTTTTCCCACTGAAAAGTCACCATCACATGTTAAGTCGAAACTAAAAACTGGCAAGAGAGCCAAACCATCAGGAAAATATAATTAAAGAAAGAGGTATATAACTAGATACTTCTAATCCACAGATACTTACCATCTCCAAATCATCACAAAGAATAGAAATCAAATGTCAGCATTCTCTTCCAGGCAGGCCAGATCCCCCTCAGAATCATCTACCTCGGACTCTAGTCAGGTACAATCTATTGCTCCCAACATGATGAAGGCTGTTTGCATCCCAAGGTCTTTTTTTCCTTCCAATTTAATTTGGCAAGTACTGCAATGTTTACTTCCAAAACTAGTCATTGCAGAAATATGAAAATTAGAGAGATACTATTTCTGTTCCTACCTTAGAGCTTAAGGGAAAAAAGGAGTCAAATACTCAAAGAAAGTATAAATCAGGAGAAAAAACCCTGTATGATAGAAATTATTATTCCCATTTTACAAATAAAGAAACAAAAACACATTAAAAATAGAACTACCATATGATCCAGTGATTCCACTTCTGCTATTTATCTAAAGAAAATGAAAACACTAACTCAAAAAGATGTGTGCACCCCTCATGCTCACAGCAGCATTATTTATAATAGTGAAGATATGGAAACAACCTAAGTGTCCATTGATAGATGGATGGATAAAAGAAAGAGGTTATATATCTATATGTATATATACATATATATGTATACACACACACACACACGCAACAGAAAATTAGTCATAAAACAGGAGAAAATCTTGCTATTTGCAACAACATGATGGATCTCAAGGGCATTATGTTAAGTGGAATAAGTCAGACAGAGAAAGGCAAATACTGTATTATCTCATTTATATATGGAATCTAAAAAAATTTTTAATTAAAAAAACAACCAAACTCATAGATACAGAGAACAGATTGGTGGTTACCCCAGGCAGGGAGTGGAGGGTCGGTGAAATAGGTGAAGGGGGTCAAAAGGCACAAAGTTTCATTTATAAAATAAAGAAGTCATGGGGTGTAATGTACCACATGGTGATTCTAAGTCAATAAACCTATATTGCATATTTGAAAATTGCTAAGGGAGTACATTGTAAAAGCTGTCATCATAAGAAAAAACATTTTCATGACTATGCATAGTGATGGATGTTAACTACACATATTGTAGTAATCATTCCATAATAGATATAAATATTGAATTAGTATGCTGCACACCTGAAACCAATATAATGTTAAATGTCAATTATACCTCAATAAAAAAGGAAGGAAGGAAGGAAGGAAGGAAGGAAGGAAGGAAGGAAGGAAGGAGGGAAGGAAGGAAGGAGGGAGGGAGGAAGGGAGGAAGGGAGGAAGGGAGGGAGGGAAACTCAGGGTAAGTGACCTGCCAAAGGACACACAATAGTAAGTGACAGCATCGGGATGTGAAGCCAGGTACATGCAGTTCTGTGACTGCCTGAAGTTGCGGGACTGTAATGCTCTCTCAAACAGATAGGACATGTGAGGACAGGTTCTGCTCCACGCAGAAGGAAGAATTCTAAACCTAGAGGAAATGAGCCACAAAACAGATTTTACGCTTCAGAAGTCTTCAGAGGATAAACAAAGAGGAATTTGATGAGGACCGTGGCACCAGTCTTACCCCAAACGGTCTCTTGCCTTCCACCAGTGAGGGTTATATTTCTCCAATATCAGGTACTCCTCTGATCTCTTTAATGCTAAATCACACGGCTCTCTGGGCAGAAAATCATACAGCGCCTTTACTTGGATCCTCTCTTCAGTAACCTCAGAGGGTGGGAGGGGAGGCAGTGGCTTGCGTTTTGATGGTTGCATGTGGTCTCTGTTGGACTGTAAAAACCAAGGAATGATTTGTTGTACTATTGTTTTAGTAATCTGCACTAAAAAAAGAATAGGGATAGAGTACATTTCCCCGCTGCCCCAGTTCGCCCGTCTGGCTGCACCAAAGCAAAAACCAGAGTGGGATAAACATAGGAAATGACCATAAAACAACTTTTGAATTCAGCAACCCATTCATCATTTTGTAAGTTGTCAAGATCACAAATTCTCTTGCCAGCATCGCACTGGATGTTTCTCTTTTCTTTTTTACAATAGCTCTGTGCTCAACACAGGGCTCGAACTCATGACCCTGAGATCAAGAGTCGCATGCTCCACGGACTGAGCCAGCCAGGTGCCCCTGGATGTTTTTTAAGCCACAAGTCTTGAAATCTGATTTCCACCCCAATAGTTTCACTTTGTTTTATGGGTTTTTCTCTCTCGAAAAAAGATAAACAGCCCTTCCCTTTCACACGCTATAAACTGTGTTTGGGTTTATCATACTTCTTAAGAACACTGTTTCCTCCAACACTGAACTGAAAATTACTCCTGGGTTCAAAATGGCAGTAGCCAGAATACATTTTTCCCCATTCACTGTCTGGTTTCAAGTTGTGCCAAAACATAGCAGAGTAGGCTATTTTAACTGGTCTTTCTCTCTCTCTCTCTCTCTCTCTCTCTCTCTCTCTCTCTCTCTCTCTTCTAAGGCATTCATTCACTAAACGTTTATTAAGCACTTGTTACATGCCGAGCAGGACACTAGATTCTGGGCATGGCAGCAAACAGTACCTCGAGGAGCGTAGACCCTAAAAACACAAGCTTCCTCTGTTACTTCTCCCTCATCAAGATGATACTCACTTGCTTCTTGCTTGGCAATTCCCTGAACCACAGCCTGCGACGCTGGGTGTATTTTTCTGAAAATTCTTCATCTTTGCTCAGGCTTATTTGTGCTCTGACTTGTCTGAGATTGAAAAACAACCATGTTACCAATTATGATCTGAATTCAGGTTATCCAAGCATTCACCAGATATTCGCGAAACTAGTAGGAAGCTCCAGGTCTCTTTCTGACTTCTTTCTTACCTAGAAGACTTTCCACGGGCAAGTTACTACCTCCCAGAACTGCATTTTCCTTATGGAGGAGCTAGAGATGCTAAGAGCAAATGGAGTTGTTATGGAATAAAACTGAAGAAACATATGTCCCATGCCCAAACCAAACCTGGTGCATATTCAGGTGATAAAATAATGATCATGATAATGAAAAACTCACTCTGCGTCAGGCACAGTGTTTATCATTTTACATGCATACCTCGTTTGACGGTATCTGTTGTTATAAGTAGACATGGTATAGTGATTAAGAACATGAGTTTGAATCCCAACTCTACCATTTCACAGTGTGGCCTTGGGGAAGCAATAGAACCTCTCTAAGCCTCAATTCCCTCATCTGTAAGATGGAGATTATAAAAACCATAGGTGTTTTGGGGAGTTACTTGAGCTAATAAACGCAAATCTTTTAGCACAGTCTTACACAGAGGACACTGCCATTAAATGCTAACTGTTCCTATTATCGTGGTACCTTGCATTCATTCTACACAATCTTTTGCTGGGCATCAAAGTGCAAGAGACCCTGATCATTGGGGGGGGGGAGATATTCTAATAAATAAGACAGGATTCTTGCCCTTAAAGGGCAAAAATTATTGAGCAGAACACAGAAAAGTAAACAGCATACACAAAATAAATATTAAATACAGACCCAAGCCACATGCTGTGGGAACGTAATGGAAGGAGCAATTCATGCCAAAGGGATCCAGGACAGATGGTGGAAGACCTGAAATTTCTGAAGGAAGACCTTTAGATCAGTGGACACGCAGTAAGGAGGAAATGGGAGAAGGGTTTCCCCGGCAAAGGGAAGGGCAGAATCAAGGAGCCACGGAGACACAATAGACAATAAAGTAACTGAATGAATGACTTTCCAAGAAGTTGCCCTCAGTAGTAGACTTACCTCTTCTGCATGGAACAGCAGCAACAACAACAGAAAATCGACTGGATGCTGTTATCTGAAAAGCAAATCATTGGAGAGAGCCGTAAGTGTATGACATTGGCTAGATGACGCCGGTGGTGCTAGTCCAAAGGAGGAAATTCCCAAGGGAAATTCCCAAGGAGCAATAGGAATGATAAAGCGTATGCTAGGTCTTGATTCTGCCCTCCTTTATTTGTGGCAGACAAATTTGTGAAACTGTCTTGAAAGCACAAAGAAGTTACTGGCACCCTGGCCAGTGTGGTTTCCCTTCTCAGGCTCTTCTCCCCAGGTCTGGTTTATGCATTTCCTCAGTCTGTGAATGACAAATGACCACTCTATTCTACTTCACCTTGATCAGGGCTAATGTCAGCTAATAAATGTACAAACACAACGTACATGATTCCAAAAGCAACGTTCTCCTAGGAAATCTGGTAGCAGGGATTTTGAATTAGGTCCATCACATTTCTTTTTAAAATATTTTAATATTTTAAATATTTTACTACTTAATACTTTATGTTCATAGAACCTGGGTTTCCCAGTCAGCTCTTTCTCATCATGACACTTGACGATGAAGCATTAGGGAAGCAGAGAGCATGTCAGACATGAGTTCTGAGGTTAGAAAGACCTGGGTTTGAATCCTCACTGTGCAGGTGACTATATCTTGGATGAGTCCCTTTACTTCTCTAAGTCTTCGTTTTCCTATCTGCAAAAAACAGGATAATCATACCTAACCCCTCTGAGAAGCCTTACGAGGCAGAAGTTAATCTCTAACTTAGTGGGTTTGGGGAAGTTACTGGACTGTTCTATACTTAAGTTTCCTCGTCTGTAAAATGGGAATAATTGGATACTTGGCATGTAAGGCTACTGGGAGGATTAATTGAATGGATTCCCAGAAAGCACCCAGAACAATGCCAGATATATCGGACGAGGGTAATCCAGAAGACCTATTATTACTATAGGGTTGTTGAGAAGATTAAATTAGACATCATCTCTAAAGTCCCATGAAAATAGAAGAGGGGTACAAACAGAAGACACCCGCTACAGTCTACCCCTCAGCATCCACTCTGTGCCCCCAGAACAGGGGATGCAACGGAGTTTTCATCAGCCATCATGTTACCACCAGGTGATGTCAGTGTGGTCATACTTCCACCTGAAACTTAGTGCATTAACCATCAGGACACTTCAAGTAGGTAGGGAAAGAAAGGAGAAAAGAAGAGTAACATAAAACACAGCTGCTACAATCCCCACATCTACAGCTGTCCTGAGTCCTAAGGTGGTGATCATAGATGCCTTCTGTCACCAGAGTCCCTTCTGAAGGCCTCTCATGTGAGCTGAAGGAGAAGCAGAAAGAACAGGTATTATGTGAATATAAGTCACCTGCTCATGAAGCTATCTTGAGCCTTCTGGATCTTCTGGGGCCTACTTTCAAATATACTGCTTCCATATTATGATGGATTACTGCTATTCATGCCTAATTTTATGGTTCATTGAATCAGATAACATTCAGCTTAAGACAGGTGTTTGAATCACATAAATATTTCATGATCCATGGTTGACCATTCAGTCTTCACCAGTAGCAAGCCAGCAGGCACTTTTCAAATTAAAAATAATTATCAGCACAGTGTCAAGGCATTACTCCTAATTCCTGGGGGATTGTGCTATGATTTTCATCCTGAGACTTTACAGGAGCTCCTTACAGCTAGCATTTTGCCCTTCATTCCAGGCTGCCACCAATGATAATTTGAGTAATTGATAATTGAGTTATTTCCCCCAGCAGTAAGGCTTCCTTGGAACTCTAATTATATGACCAAATAAATCTCAGGTCCAATTTTGACTCTGTTTCCTGGAGCCACTTCTGATACCAATAACTGTATCAGTCAGGGTTCCAGTATGAAACATGACATATTTAAATTAGAATAATTTTAAAAGGGTTCATACACAAAGGGACTAATTACAAAGGTGTGGATAAGGGGGTAAGGGAAACTGGGTCCAATAGTAGAACTGTCACCATCCCTAGGTCCAAAAGGACCAGGAAAGTGAGAGTTAAGTAGATTTCTAGACGCTAAAATAAAATAAATTACTGAGCCCCCCAAATCTACATTATACTGTGTATTATTAGGTTTGGGGATTTCAACTGCTTTTGTCAGTTTTCTGGTATCTGCATGAACAAGCGGCCAAAACACTCCTGAGAATGAGGGTACATTAGCACTTAGGGGCTCTGTCTGCTTTAGCAGGACTGGGTCTAATTTACATTCTTGCCAATCGATTCCAATGTTGTTTTAGAGTCCCATATAGATCTGTATCTATCCAGGCCAAGAGATGCAAAGTCAAATGTAGGTTACACAAATGAGTGAAGTGGGTCAGAGTATGGTTTAGAATGTGGCAAAAATGCTGTGGCCTCATGTAGAGGTATTCAAATTCAAAATTTTAAAAATACTCCTTCCCTCTCTTGTATCACCATTCCCCTCTCCACTGGATCATTGCCATTAGCATACAGATATGCTGTTACTTCCCTCATTAAAAATAAAAGAAACTACTCTTGATATTATTTCCTTGATCAGCTTTGCTCCCCTTTTAGAGTAAAATCTAGAAATGAATCATCTTTACTTGCTGCTTCCAATTCTTCTCTCTTTTTCTCTTAACCCATTCTAGTTAAGCTTCTGTCCCTACCACTTCCCCCAAACTGCTCTTGTTAGGGTCACCAATGACCTATGTACCACTCTATCCCATGCTTAATTCTATGTCCTTAGCTTACCTGACCTGTCAGCAGCATTCAAGACTCTTCTCTTGATTTTCTTTCTTCTTGGTCTCTTTTGCCACTTCTCTTCCTCCCTACCCTCTCAGGCTGGGGCTAATGATAGCTGGCTCCAAAGCTTTTGATCTCTTCTCTGTCTCATTCACTCCTTTGATTATCTCATTCCTTTCTGTGTCTTAAAAACAATCTATCTGCCAATGACATCCAAACGTATACCTCTAACCAGTTCCAGCGCATTCCAGACTTGCATACCCAAATGCAGTCTCAAATTCTCCACTTGGGTGTCTAGTGGACACCTCCAATTCACATGAAGAAATCTGAACTCCTTCTCTTCCTTTCTACCCAGACTTGCTCTACCCATCCTCTCCATTTTGTCAATAGCAATTCCATTTTTCCAGTGGCTCAGGTCAATGATCTTGGAGTTGTCTTTGACTCTTCTCTCTCTCTCACACCCCAGTCCAATCTGTCAGAAAGCATGCTGATTCTGCCTTAAAAATGTATCCAAGAGTTTCAGTTTGGGATGATGAAAATGGTCTGGAGATGGATAGTGGGGGGATGGTTGTATGGTAATTCAAATGTACTTAATGCCACTGGACTATACACTTACAGAGAGTTAAAATGGTAAACTTTACGTTATATATATTTCACCATGTTAAAACTCTCTCTCTCTCTCTCTCTCTCTCTCTCTCTCTCTCTCACACACACACACACACACACACACACACACACACACACAGAATCTTACTGCTTTCCCCACCCTCTGTTCTTACCATGGTCTAAGCTACCATGATTCATCTGGATGATACCAACAGCCTGCTGACTACTTCCTGCTTCTACCCTAAACTCCCTATAGTCTCTTCTCAGCATAGCAGCCAGAGTAATTAAGGTAAACCCCAAGTTGGGTCATGTTGCTCCTTGTCTCCAAATCCCACAATGGCTCCCCATTTCATTAACAGTTATAGCTAAATTTCTCACACTAGCCTATAAAACCCTCCATGATCTGGCCTCCTGTTGCCTCTCATTCCTGTCCAACATGGCCTTGCTTGTGTCACCCAGCCACACTACCTTCCTCCTGCTTCTGAGACACACCAGGCCTGCTCTTCCTGAAGTTTCTTTGCTTTCATCTTGGCTAGACCACTCTCCCCTCCAGATGTCAACCTTCTATTTTTTAAAATATTTTTTAAACTGAATTATAGTTGACGTAAAATATTATATTCATTTCAGGTATACAACATAGTGATTCAACAATCACATACACTATGTAATATTCACCACAATAAGTGTAGTTACCATCCGTCACCGTACAGGGTTATTACAATTTTATTGACTATACTTTTCATCCCTGTGAATTATTTTATAACTGAAAGTTTGTACTTTTTAATCCCCTTCCCCTATTTTGCCTATGCCCCCATCTCTCTCTCTTCCGGCAACTACTAGTTTGTTCTCTGTATTTATGAGTCTGTTTCTGTTCTTGTTTTTTCATTTGTTTTGTTTTTTAGATTCTACATGTAAGTGAAATCATACGATATTTGTCTTTTCTGTCTGACTTATTTCACTTAGCATGATACCCTCTAGGTCCACCCATGTTGTTGTGAACAGCAAGATTTCATTCTTTCTCGTGGCTGAGTAATATCCCATTGTGTGTGTGTGTGTGTGTGTGTGTGTGTGTGTGTGTGTGTACCACATCTTCTTTATCCAGTCACCTATCTATGGACACTGGGGCTGCTTCCATATCTTGGCTATTGTAAATAATGCTGCAATGAACATAGGGGTGCATATATCTCTTCAAATCAGTGGCTTTGTTTTCTTCAGGTAAATACTCAGAAGTAGAATTACTGGGTCATATGATCTCAGGAATGGACCAAAAAAGGGTAAAAGTAAATCACTGGGACTACATCAAACTAAAAAGCTTTTGCACAACAAAGGAAACCATCAACAAA